CCCAACTGCTCAGGAGGCTAAGACAGAAGGATTGCCCAACCACAGCAATGGCGAGGTGCTCATCAACTCAGTGAGACCCTGTCTCTAAATAAAATACAAAGTAGGTCGGGGGATGTGGCTAAATGGTTGAGTGCCCCTGAGTTCAATCCCTAGTACTGCCCCTGCTAAAAAATGTAGGTGCCTGAAGTAAAGTGGTTGAGAGCAAGAGAAAAAGTCATGTGAATTCATTAGAGGACCCAGGAATGTCATTTATTCACTTAAAAAACTAGATCAGCAGCAGCCCATGTGTGCCAAACTTCAATGTTCTGGAGAAGTGGAATTAACCATGGTGTCTCCCACAAAAGAGAATGTGGTGCAGTAGGAAGAGGAAGGCACTAATCAAATCATCACATATGAACACTCACTACTTAGTGTGGTCTGTGCTAGGAAGAAAAGTCAGTGGAAGGAGAAGTTGTAACAGGAGGGACTTGTATCCCAGCTCACTGGTCTCCTGTCAGCAGCTGTACAAGCCCACAGTGTCTGCATGGCTAGGTTTTCTAAGAGAAAACTCTGTCCTAGCTGAGATATGAAAAGGGCATCAGCCTGCAGGGCAGGGGAGAACAGTCTAAGGAGTGCAGTGGCCTGCACAAAGACTGTGCTGGAAGAGGAAAGAGAGTAAAAGATCCCTGAGTGAGATTAAATTTGAGAGACAGAAAAGGAAACATTTCTCAGGGCCCCCTTGGCCACTTTAAAGTCATGATCTCTGCAGGAAGAGTTTTAGCAAAATGTAGTACTTTTTAAAGCAGCATTGTGTTTTAGATTATTCAAGGAGAATATAAGGGGTTAATTTTAGCTACAGCGGGCAGAGTGATTTGGAGGAGCAAGTGTATACCATGACACAAGTAAGATCAATGGACTACAGAATTTTGGGATACTTGGTCAGGAAAATAGGAGAAAAGATTGTGAATAGGAAAAAAAAAATACTATTGGCATCACATGTGGATTGAGGCTTTGCTTTAGACTAATCAGAACAAACCTTCAAATTTGTGTTTCTATGTTTCTAAGTTTCTATGTCTGAAAGTACACTGTGAACCAGGCTTCAAATCTCATTACCTGTCTGGGCCCCACAATCCCATCTGGGAACACCTAGAGGGTAAGAACCAACAGAGGATAGCAACAAGTGACAATGAGAACAACAGAACCCCACTCTGTGGAATTAGAAGATTTTATTGCAAAGGAGTTTCAATAAAATGTAGAAACAACAAAACAACTACTACACCATGAAGGTTATCAGTCCCTCTCTGTTTCTTTCCACTGAGTAATTACTCTGGAATTTTTTTCCACTTCAACTTTTTAGCTCAGTTAATCAGCCTCATTTAATCCCAGCCCAAAGTATCCATTCTTGTCTTTTAAAAATAGCTTTCGGGCTGGGGTTGTGGCTCTAGAGGAAGAATGCTCGCCTAGCATGAGTGATGCACTGGGTTTGATCCTCAGCACCACATAAAGTAAAATAAAGACTTTGTGTCCACCTATAACTAAAAAATAAATATTTTTTAAAAAATAACTTTCAAAAGAAAAAATCACAAACTCATTGCCAGATAATCAAAGTAACACAGAAAAAAGCTATGAAAATCACCACAAATAAGATTATATATTTTAATATTTAGGTAGACATTGTCTCCATCATCCATTTGTACACGGGCAATTTATATGGACATAAAAATGATTGTAAGTATTCACAATACTTTTACAGCTTCTGTCTGCTATAAATATGTTGGCCTTTGTTTATTTTTCTATAAAATGTTTTTGTCATTGGTATTAGTGTTGGGGAGAATGTTAAGTAATGGTATGTGCATATGTGTCTGAGTGATTTTTTTTTAATTTTTAATATTTATTAGTGCATTATAGTTACACATATAGTGGGATTCATTTTGACATATTCATAAATGCATATAACACATTTTACTTTATTACAACCCCCTATGCTCCCTCTTCCCCTTCTACTCCCAGTCCTCTACTCTATTTGTCTTTCTTCTATTTATTTTTAAAATTGGTGCATTATAGTTATGTATAGAATTCTAATATATTGTGATATATTCATACATGCATATACATGACATAATTTGGTCAACTTCATTTCCCAATTCTTCCTCTTTTTCTCCTCCCTTTCTCTTTGTCCCCTGCTTCTACTCTAATGATCTCCCTTGACTGAGTGTTTTAATACAACTTTGTGTTAATTTTTTTTTGTCACAGGAAAGCAGGGAGTTGAAACTCCAAATCTGGATTCTGTGTTCCTATGGAAGAACATTTTAGGTCAGACCAAAAGCCATGTAAGAGAACTTCATCATAAGTGAAAGTGAGACAAAAGTTAAAAAAAAAAAAACACAGCAGAAAGATTAAGCAGAGGATTAATCAGAAAGCATTCTCAAGAAAGAGAGAGAGTGGGCCTTCTCACAGCAGAGAAGGGCAAGGGAGACAATGCTGTCTCCAAATTTATTACTGTTTGGTGTTTACCAGAACTGGGGTTCTCCTTCAGCAATCTTCATCATCAGGTGTTTAATTTCTCCTTCATGTTGGGTGGTGGAATTTTCAACCTTTGTTGATCCTCTCCAGAACTGTCATGGTGGCCATCATATTGGGGATGGGAGGGCTTCATCTACAAGTGAATCCCATGTTAAACCGGGCACTGAAGTTAGAAGTTACCTCAGTGCACCTTCACACTTCCTTCCAGACAAGTGGAGAGATCTATAGCTATAATTCCTAGCTTTACACCAATCTTAGCGGACTCTGTCAAGAGTTAGTCCCATTAATCACTTTTTGACGTATTTTCCAATTAACTCCTTAGATTCGGTTTCTTTTCTACAAATTAACTGCCACCTTTTTCTCTCTCATCTACTTTGAATGTAGTTTAAAGAAGACTAAAATGATTTAAAGAATGCTTGTGACCTTGCCATTCATTTCACTGCTCATTGCTAGCTACTACCTAACACTTTTAAATATAGGAAAAATTTAAGGTGTTCTAAACAAATTGCTTTTCTCAATGAATGTCAATGCAGCATTGATTCAGGAGGGACGAAAAGAGTGGCCCTTCAGTTTGACTTTCATTTTTCCTCAATCTTATGTAAAGGTGGATAGATGATAGGATTGGCCAATGCTGGTATTCTGTATCCTAATAATTTAACTGATATTTCTATTTCATTGAAAATAAGTATTCTTTCCTATCATCATTTGAATGTTTAAGTGTTATCCATCCACACATTTTTTTCAATAAACCTACATTGGAAACTTATTAGGTCATCATTGGACTATGTACTTTGGATACAACACTGAAAAAAAAAAAAAAAAACCGAAACATTCTTATGGACATATTCATTGTCTAGAAAAGAAATCTCTTAAAGAAGCAAACATGCTTGTGGTCTGAACCTGTCCATCAACACTATCCAGACTTTGCCACGTGTCAAGGCAGGTGGATTCTTCCACCAATATTCACCATTAGAACAGCAAACTCATACTGGAATAGTTTGGATCCAGCACTTCCCCTAGAACAGACATCCCCAAAGTGTGGGGAAAAGCCTCACTGTGATCATGGATTTTTGCCAATCAAGTCAGGAGGGGTTCTGGAATCCTCTTACTGCTTTTCACATTATTTGTTTATAAATAAATAATGCTAATGCTTGAGTGTACTGTATTTTATCCTCTTTGCCTCATTCATATTTTTGACAAGAGAAGCTGTAGGTTTTATTTGAGATTTTCAATTTATTAACTTTTTTTGGTTTAATGGTTTAAATTAGGATGGGAACTTAGAGAGTAAATGGAATATAAAAAATAAAAATGTCTAAAATGTCATGAATAATGAAGAGCTGGAATATCAGTATAATCCTCAGAAAATAGTTTCCTCTCTTTATCCTTGAATTCTGATAAAATTGAGATTTAATTTTCAAATTCAGCCTTATTTGAAACCAGGTTAGAAAATGTAACTTTGTGGGAGAACAAATGAGCACTTCACCTGAACAAATACTTACTTAGGCCTCACACTGGCTGGGAAGGCCTTCCCATGGCTTTTCACTGCAAAAGTAATGCAAAATATTGGAAGCGTGGTACAGAAGTAAACCATGACACCATCGAGGGCTTGGGCTGAGGCCTGGATTTCCCATAATTGCATGTGTCAGAGAAGGCAAGACACTTACTGCTCTCTGACAATGGGTTGGACAGAATAAAAGGAGTAAAGACCTTATCCAGTATATAAAGGTGACCTATGTCAGTGCTTACTTTACCAATCAATCACTGAGTAACTTATTTTTAATGTGAGCACTTTCAACAGGTAATGAGGAGTTTAAACTGGTAATCAGCTCATTCAGGACAGCCATACAGAGGCTTGGGTGTCAACTGGGTATGAGTGTGAGGTCTGATTTTCTGATTAATGCCCTATATTGGGTATGTTTATCTTGAATCTTCAAGTCTTTTCAAGAAAATATAGTCTGCTTTATGTTGGTGATGTGAAAACTAAATAAAGTGATAGGAAAATTTTATCACAGTGCCTAGGACACAGGTCAGATTCTGTCAATGTTACGTAATATTTTTCTTTGCAAAATAGAGATAATGAAATGCTTGCTGATTGAAAAAGGAGACAAATTACATTGTAAGTATAGCAAGAGTAAAATAGTATGGTTCAATTAGCACAAAGAAAGGCTATGAGAGAATATTTCTGAGACTATCCCTACTTGAATATTCAATGAGGCAAAATTGAGTGCCCATTATAGGGATAAGAAATATGTCTGTACCTCTCTGCTTTGCCTCTCAGACTCCTTACACAATATTGAGGCATGAAGAATAATATTAGAGTTAATTATGAGATCCTACCAACTAAAAGAACACAGCAGGATAAAAAAAAATTTCTTAGGTCAATAAAATACATGGTTTACAGAGAAATAGCTCTAATTATGTGCTTATTTTTTAGAAGACCATAGGAAGTTGTTTCTCAGAAACACTTAACTTTAAAAATCCATTATAAACTCTGTAATTCATTCTTGAACAGAAAATATTGCAATTTGGAACACTATTTTCAGGGACCTTTTCACTTCTTTGTTCCTTAAGGAGTAGATCAAGGAGTTCAGCATGGGGGAGACAATGTTGTTTAGTATCTGCACCACGGCCCCAAGCAGAGGGTTGGGTGTGCGCTGCAGGTAGATGATGATGACAGGTCCGTAGGCACAGAGGATGGCAGTGAGGTGGGCACTGCAGGTGGAGAAAGCCTTCTGCCTGCCCTCTGCTGAACGAATTCTCAGAATGGCAATCCCAATGTGAGTGTAGGAGACACAAACACTGAATAAGAGTGTTAAAGCCAGGAGGCCAACATTAATGGAGCCCACTCTCTGGGCCAGAGAGCTGTCAGTACAAGCCAAGGGTAAAACTGCAGGGATGTCACAGAAGAAGTGGTCCACCTGATTGGGGCCACAGTAGGTTAACTGAAAGGTAAAGGAGGTCAGTGTGGTGGCCTGGAGACACCCCACCAACAAGGCTACCATGAGCAAGCTGACACAGACTGCAGGTTTCATGATGACCATGTACCTTAGTGGGTGACAGATGGCAACATAGCGATCATAAGCCATCACAGAATAGAGGCATCCTTCCATAGAGCCCAGCAAGTGATAGAAGAAGAGCTGTGCAGCACAGCCCTTGTAAGAGATGGCTCGGCTCAGACCAGAGAGATAAAAGAGCATCTTGGGACAGGTTACAGAAGGGAACAACATGTCAAAAACAGACAGAAGTCCCAAGAAGAAATACATGGGGGTGTGAAGAGTGGAGGATGAAATGATTGCTGTAAAGATGAGTAAATTCCCAAGCAGGGTGAAGAGGTAGATGGAAGAGAAGATGACCAAGAGCACAGTCTCCAGTCCCTCCGACTGAGGGATTCCCAGGAGGATGAACTCATTCAGCAAGCTGTGATTTCCCATCTTGCTGGAAGGCTGTTCTGGGTTTTCACAAAGAACATGAAGACATGAATGTGCAGGCTGATTATGACAGACACAATACTACTGCACATATTGTCAACAAATTTTGTGTAAACATAAAGTTAATGATGAAAATGAGAATTTGGAGTTTTAGTCCAAAGAGATTTAGGTGCTAGCAAAGTCTACCTACCACTTCACAACTGAAGGCATTCTCCTTCACACCTATGAATACAAAGCAAAAATGAAACAGTAACAAGGTGAAATAAAGGGTGGATTAAGAGACCAAAAATTTTAATACCAAACAGGAACACAATTTAATTAATATCCTTAGTACATTATATAATATGAATGTCCTATAATTACCTGACCTAAAAGGTTGATCTTACATTATTAAAAGATGTCCCCTGATAGCCTAAGTATTCATGGGTACCCACATGTCTGACTAGAACAATGGATTGCCATACAGGGCAAGGAGCACTAGGATTTGGGTTGTATGAATAACATTCTGATTAAATATGTTCCTAGTATGAACATTTTCTTATTGAAAATGGTCATTTACTTGAAGATAAACAAGTAGTAGAAAGTTAAAATATTTTATGGGGACTCAAATAACTTGGAGATTAGATTCAAATATGAGATATTTGAACATTGTTAAGAGTGCATTTTTGAAAACTTAGAGTCAAAAAGAAAAGCTTTCAGCACTACCATTTTTTGTGTAACTTTGCATTTAAAAAGAATAGTCATGGTAAGAATATTAAACATAATTAACCTTCTTTACAGATTTGAAAATACACTGTATAGTATTGTCAAATATAGTAGAACTTGTTCATCACAGTATCTGTAGCACACCATATCTACTATTGTTTATTATTGGAGTCAAATTTTCAAATGTTGTAAAGTGATTGTTTTTGTCCTAAGATAAATTTAAGCCTTTTCTAATAATCTCCAAAATCAATCATTAGGATGAATCTGCTTTGTGGTCCAGATTCCATGACTAATGAAAGCAATTCACTAAAATTCAGTGTTATAGAATTCCTCATCTAGGATTCATAGGATGAGAATTGAACATCCTCATAATTACTGGCAACTGCTCTATTGAAGGAGTCAAGAAATGTGATAGGTAGATGGGGAGTCAAGGGAAGATAATGAACTTCCCCAAGTAGAGGGAACACCAGAGTCATGAGTAAAGTTTTGTGACATGAAGGAGAGGATGTGAAAAGTAATTAATATAAAAGTACCCCAAATAGAACAAAGTTACTTGCACAGCCTAAGGCTGTTTAAGATGCATTTGATCATGCATCTTAGTTCATGTGATAATAAATTAAAGAATGTTATCACAATATGTTAATGCAATGGATTTACTTTACTGCTGTCATGGCATCAAGTTTATGGAGGTAATTTTACTTTATGGGGTTCTTTGAGTCTTGGTTTATTTATTTATTTTTTTTGAGGGGGGGAGAACGCTGGCATTCTTTACATTTTTTTTTCCTAGACTATTTCCTGTTGAGCACCATCTGGACTTGAAGCCAGTTTGTATTTGTGCAGAATTGAAGAGAGAGTGTGGCCACTAGGTGGCTCCTATTCTCTTGGGTAGCCATCTCTACACAGACATAATTGGAAGTCTCTGAACAATTCCATTCAGGCTCAATTAATAGAGAGGGGGAACCAATTAACTGCCATGTAGGTGTTCTAACACATTTCTATGAAAAGATGTTTAACAACAAGGTAGAGAAAATTTTTAATAATATGTGATGCTTAAACTGTGAAAATGCAGGGGATAAGTAGAAATGTAGGCAGGTGCTGGGAATCACCATACAGTAAATGGAAAAATGCCATTGAAAATTTGGGATGTCCCTTTAATGGTGCTTATCACATAGTGGGTGCTCAATAAATACATGTTATTGATTAACTCAGATAACTTTCCTGCCCAGAATTGTAATAAAGTTTAAATTATGATGATATTCATGATACACCTTGGAAAGTATAGTGAACTTTACTGCTGTCTGGAGGATAGGAGATAAGGTTGAATGGTGATTAGAAAAGATGAGATTTTAAGGTGGGCAGATTTGATTGTAAATTTACGCTGAATCTTGCTCATTAATTTTGTGACTTTTATTTGTCTTCAGTTTTTTTATATCTAAAATAGGGGTTATATTACATTTTAAATGTTGTTCAGTAGATTAAACAAGGTAAGTTCCTATGAGGCTTCTAATAAAATGTTTAATGTTTTGCTGGTGTCCCAAAATTGTTATTTGCTCTTTCATTCTTTGCTCTTTCATTCTATGCAAGGGAAAGACACATTTGTGCTGTTTTGGTTTAATATGAACATAAGCATTGCAGAGTTTGGGGAAGTTTTAAAAAATACCCTTTAGGTACACTTATACATTATTGGTGGGAATGAAATACAATCACTCTGGAAAGCAATATGGAGCTTCCTCAAAAAACTAAGAATGGAACCGCATTTTGACCCAGTTATCCCACTCCTCAGTATATATCTAAAGGACTTTAAGTCAGCATACTACAGTGACACAGCCACATTAATGTTTATAGCAACACAATTCACAATAGCTAAGCTATGGAACCAATCTAGATGTGCTTCAACATATGAACAGATAAAGAAATTGTAGTATATATACAACTGCCATAAAGAAGAATGGCTTTATGACATTTACTGGTAAATGGTTGGATCTGGAGACCATTCGTGCTAAGTGAAATAAGTTAATCCCAAATATACAAAGGTCAAATATTTTCTTTGATATGTGAAAGCTAACCCAAAACTGGAGGAAGGATATGATTTAAGTGGATTAGACAATCGGGAATGAAGGAAAGGGAGTATGGATAGGGAAAGGAAGGACAGTGGAATAAATCCAACATAACTCTCATATGTAAATATATGGATACATCACAGTGAATCTCATTGTGTACATCCAAAAGACTGGGGTCCTAAATAGAAAAATGTGGTGAGCCGCTTCTGCCGTTTCTGCAGATTATGGTCGCCATTACAAGATGGCGCTGGCTCCGCTGTGGTCTGTGACAAACAACTCCTTATCTGGGAGAGTTGGCACATGATTTTTCACCACCCTGTGAGAAAGCTCCACGCGGCAGCTTTGCATTGGGGCTTGAGATGCTTTATTAAGGCTGGGAGGGGCATCCGAGAGGAAGAAGAAGAAATATCAAGGGCCTGAATAAACTGCTGAAAGAAGATTCCTGAGTTGCGTCTTCCTTGCGGGCAAGGGGTCGCGACAAGTGGTGCCGAAACCCGGGAACCAGAACTTTCAGCAGTCAGGGGTGGTGCACCGGTTAGTCCCAGGTAAGTGGGATCCGCGATCAAAGCGGGGTTAGTCCCTAGTAAGTGGGATCCGCGACCAAAGCGGGACAGCTCCTCTGTAATGAAAGAGAGAGCCTTACATTTTATTGCAGCTGCACTGTGTACTTTCGCTCCTACTTTCGCTTTCTTTTTTTTGTGCTTCCTTTGTTGTTGTGTCATGGGTGCCGCATCTTCAAGTCCGCTTCTCCTGGCCCTAGATGGCCTGTTACGTTCCAAGGGACTGGAAGTGAAACATAGTACTTTACAGAGATTTTTACAGAAGATAGATATCGCTGCACCGTGGTTTGCATTTTCGGGCAGCCTTACTGTGCCTAGTTGGGATAAATTAGGCAAAGATCTTGACTTTGCTTCTGAGCAGGGCATATTAGAGGGTGGGGTGATACCCCTTTGGAAAATGGTCCGTGGTTGCCTTACAGATGACAGATGTCAGGAAGCACTTACTAAAGGACAGGAGGTTTTAGAGCAATTGCATGAGGAAAAATCTGAAGGATCATGTAGTGAAGTGGCAGAGAGTATTAAAAGTAACAGTAGTGAGAAGGCAAAAGAGCCTGAAGATAAAAATAGGAGAAGGCTCTACCCAGACTTGACCGAATTAAAAACGCCTGAGAACACAAGCGACTCAGAGAGTTCTGAGGACCTTGATATATTGTTACAACAACTACATAAGATAAAAATGAAAAAGAAGAAAAAGGAGACACAGGGCACGCAGGCCTACTGTAAGAAGGGGAAGGGAGTTAACATTGGTCAACAAAACTCTGAGGAGGAGGAGGTAGAATATCTAGAAGAAGATATGGTGCCGATTGCCCCACCTCCGTATGTGGGGGGTGCCAAGGTTCCGGGAGATCTTTTCATGCACAAGTTTGGAGGACAGTTAATACAGATATGGGACTTGCATACCCTGTATTTCAGGACAATAACAGGGGAAGATATCATGAGCCTTTAGACTTTAAGATAATTAAAACCTTGGCAGAATCTGTCCGCACTTATGGCATAGATGCCGCTTTCACTCTCACTCAGGTGGAGGGACTTACTAGATTTTGCATGACTCCCTTAGATTGGGCTAGTCTAGTCCGCGCTTGTGTTTCCCCAGGGAAATATTAGGAGTCCAAAGTTGGCTGTTTAATGTTTCTGGCAGTACCCAAGACTCGGAGCGAGGTAGGAGGCTTAAAATTTCTGCAAATAATTCACAATTATCTAATGCTACATTACCCTCCGCAGCAGTCCGTCTCCAATCTCCGTTCCTGTTTCTTTTGGCTAATGTTACATTACAGGGGATGCTTAATTGTTCTAATATTACCTGTTATTTGTCTGAGTGTTGGAATGGCTCCTGGACTACGGCAATGGTTATGAAATTTCCAACCTTTGTCCCGATCCCGGTTACTGCAGATCCAGAGTCATTTCCTATTGTTGAACTGATTAGAGCCCGTAGAGATTTTGGAATTACGGCAGCTATAGTGACAGCTGTGGCAGTGTCTGCTGCTGCAGCGGTTACGGCCGGAGTGGCCATGGCCAGCCAAATTCAAACTGCTGCCACTATTAATCAGGTTATTCAACAAACATCCACCATACTTGAATCTCAAAGTAGAATTAATCAACACATTTTATCTGGGATTCTGGCTGCTAATCAAAGGATAGATCTACTTCAAGCTCAAGTTGAGGAATTGTCTGATCTAGT